CAGAAAATGTCCTACTCAAAGATGACTGACAGTGATCTATCAACGTACAGCCCAAACCACTGGACAGATCGGGCTGAAATTTGGCATGCAGGTAGATGTTATGACGTAGGCATCCACTAAGAAAGGATTTTGATCAAATCTACCCCCAAGGGGATAAAATAAGGGATGATGGAGGATGTAAATGTATTAGTTTGAACCTATCAATACCTAACGGAACGAATAAATTGAGACGAACACAATAATTTTTAGTTCTAAATGTTGACAATAGATGGCGTTAGTAGTATATTAAAACGCGCTATCGGTGTGTTTTCACTGAGTTACATATACCCGATGATGAGTGGCCGCCTTTACCTAATTAATAATAATACTTCTTAATGCGAGCGAAGCCGCGGGCAAAAGCTAGTAGTATATATTCATGAAATAATATTCGTATGGATTGAAGGTAGGCAAACATGAGAATTTTTGCTGTTAGAAAGTTTGGGGATTCCCAAAAACTGAATTGTTGAAAAATTTAGTTGATAATTTATGAATACATTTCATTTCAATTTTTGTACAAGTTTATATGAAACGAGAATAAATGAGTTCACCTTTATTTATCGATATACTTTGCGGTTATGGTTATTGTGCACTTAAGGTATCGACAGAGGACTCAATTCTCCAATATGAAAGATAAATGATGCTCCCCAAGGCGGTCAGTTGCTAAGCTTCGACATCGACCTATGGGGGTTGAAGTAGCGCTCTCTGTTGTCTGTTGTTGAATTATAAATGCATTGCGTTTGAGCTCCGGTTTTCAACCATTTGGATATAATTGAAAATTTATACAGAAATTCACATATTCAATCTAATGTGCCATCCACCGTGAATCAGCCTGTATATACAGTCACATGTACACACACACACAATATATCATTAATGGAAAACAACATTATTACAGACTATCAAACTTGAAAATACTAGTTGCAAATAGGATCGTAATCATGCTTTCATTTTCTTCCTACAGGCATATCATTGATAAGCGATCTCGGAAATTCACGAATGACATCGGAGATAACTTAGGAAGGATCAACGGCCTTCAAACCCAAATAAAAATAGTGACACACTAATAATTTATATTGAAAAGGGTGATTTGGTTGTTGACACTTGTGTCTGAATGAGTTGGTTTGTGGTTGATTATGAAACCATGTTGTTACATATCCACCTGTGAAATCTGTATTACCGAAAAAATTTCTGGTGGGAGCCACCCTATAGCGGACAGCGATAGCCAATACGACTTCCTTTTCGCGATTAATCATATCTAGCTCATTGGGGCACTGGAAAGTGGGGAATCGGTGAAATATTCGAAAAGATCCCTCTTTGCGAGGGTGGGTGGATTAGTGTATCGAAAGACCTTATTTTCAACTGCATCTGCAGAGGGGATGGTAAGCGGTGTTGCCAAATTCAACGTTCAGCCGGCGTTCTTGCTAATTTACTTATTTTGCAAATGACGAAGTGGCAAAGCATTAATTAAAGATAGATGGTGAAATGGAAATTCCAAAATCCACAATCTTGCGAATTAAAGTCATCAATATAACGAGTAATACGAAACACCTGAATATCAATGGAAAAAATTATTTTTATATAATTCAATAAAATGGCAATGGAAATAACAACTTTATAATGCAGATTCTTTGTAGATGCATCTGCATTGGTATCATAAACCAACGTTTTTTTTTCAATTATTACACAAAACACAATTTTCACAGTAAAATTAGTATTACAAGAAACTTGAAATCAAGAGCCATTATCATTTTCAAAAAAATTTTTCAAGAGCCGTTATTCGAAAAATAATCAAGAAAAAAGTTGTCCTTCACAAATTCAATACGTGAAAAATCAACCTGTAAAACTAAGCCTGTTATTTAGTGACAAACAAATGAAAGCGGCCTTTTCATATTATAATACTGTTGAAAAATATTTCTCTCTGAACAGAAAACTAAAACACCGCTGGATATACAATCTAACATAGTTTACAAATACTGTGGAAAATGTCTTAAATACTACGTTGGCCAAACCGGACCTCATCTCAAAACACGAGTTTTGGCACACATAGGAGGCTCTATGAAATTCAATATTAAGAACCCCACAGACCTGGTTAATCATGAAAGAGAACATTCGCACAGTTTTTATTTTGAACATCCAACAATTTCAGATGTCCGCTCATATTTATCTCAAAGAATTCGAAATAATTTCTCTTCCCTATTCTAATTCTTTCTTACAAAACTAAAAACAGGTGCCACTTTATCAAAATTGAAGATAAAACCATTCGTTTGCTTCATGTCATTGTGTTGTGTAGGATTCGAATATTTGTTTGCTACAGTGTTTTTTATTCATCATATAAAAGAATTTTATTATNAATTTTTTGATATGGATTTTCTCAAGTATCGGCCAGTTCTATTCAATTATCAATAATTTTGTTGAAAATTCTTTTTTGGAGTGATGTCAGTCAAGATGGAAGGCTGATAGAGAATTTTCTCTAACATGTTTTGGAAAAACGAATGAAAACTTGGCAACGTTGTTCGAAAACCGCGCGAGAATCTTGTAAATGCAGCGCAATCGGTATCAAACGTGAACCGAAAGTGGTGGTGACGTGAACACGCTGTTTTCTGGAAAACTACGTGTTACGAAAGATGAAAATCCGTACTTTCACCTGACTCCTGGCCGAAGAAAATATTCTAGAACAGGTGAGAATTGATATTTCGAGTGACTGTGAGAAAATAATCAGGTGTCATCGAGTCTAGACTGTTAATTGTTGATTTATCCCGGGTGGTGGAGATTCAAGACCGGCAGAGTCTTGGTTTTCGCACAGAAAATTCGGTGAATCCAATATTTAGGGTTGAAGTTCTCTAAATTGAAAAAGAACACTTGTGTGAGATATTTCAGAAGTTGTACTTTTGCAAGCAAATCGCGTCTTACCATCAATATCGATGAAGTATTTTTGTATTGTTCATACGTTCAGAACATTAGCAATCATACAAAGTTTTATTAATTTTGAATACTTTACCAACTGGGGTATTATGATCTTTTGATTGTTGAAACGAATATATAGCTGCTAATTACTTTAGAACATCTTAACCGATTTTCGAAAGTGAAACAATATTGGATCGAGAATTAAATTACCAATTGAACGAGATATCACAAGACTCCCTTTTTATTTGAAAAAAACCAGTTTGTAGCGCCATCTCTGCGATGAGTGTCAACACTAATGTCTACCAAAAAGTAGTAAGAAGTTCTGTTCAAAAGTAAAGATGGAGTGGGGGGGGATTCACGTCCGCACTGTATAAATTCACAATCCGTTTTATACAACGATGCATTATAAATCATTGGTCAATATTCCCTTGAAATGTGAACCCTATCGATTCGAGGAAGGCACATGCACGATTGTTGATTTATTCGAATAAGTCGCATTAATGCATCAATGCATCGCCCGTGTCGTGTGTCCCGGCGAGTTTTTCCGATTTCCCGAATCACCGATTACAACCAGTACCGTACTTTCACCGTCATAGTGTATTCCTATTTTGACATGCTACAATTTTTATATTGCCTTACCTAAGCCAATAAACATATTCTATTCTATTCTTTTCTATGCTATGCTATTCTATTCTATGCTATTGTATTTTATTCAATGTCATGCTACGATATGCTATGCTATTTCATTCTCTTTTATGCAATTCTACTCTATTCTATGCCATTCTATTGTATTCTATTCTATGCTACTATATTATATTCTTTACCATTCTGTTCTATGTTATTCTATAATTATTTATGCTATTCGATTTCATACTAGGCTATGCTATGGTATTCTATGTTATGCTATTGTATGCTATTTTCTATTCCGTTCTATTATATCCTATTCTGTTCTATGCTATTGTATTGTATTCAATGCTATGCTATGCTATTTCATTCTTTTTTAGGCAATTCTACTCATTCACCATCCTATTGTATTTTATTCTTTACCATTCTGTTCTATGCTATTCTATATTTTTTATGCTAGTCGATTTCATACTATGCTATTCTATTGTATACTCCTCTACTCTATCATATTGTATTTTATTCTATTCTATGCTATTGTATTCTATTCTAATGAATTGATGAATGTAGTTACTACGTGGTAGGAGATCAATATGAAAAAAAAACAGAAAGTTTTGTTTCTCATTATTTATTATATTTTATCCTATTGTATTCTATTCTATGCTGTTCTATTTTATGCTATTCTATTCTATGCTATACTATTCTATTATTTGTGATGGGTAAAAGTAATGAGTTTTCTCATTACTCTCAACAGTAGCTGTGCTTACTTCTACTAGGAAATATGTTGTGAACTAAGACCAGGTCATATCACTTGAGTGAAAAATTGAAATTTTCTGTGTTTGGTTTTTACTTTTAAATATACACAGTTTCAAAATGTGATTGGTTTTATTGAAAATGAAACGAAATAGAACAAGAAATCAAACTTTGACTGACAACCATACAATACAACTCCATACTACTTTATTCATGTTTCCAAAGCACTCAAACCAAAGCAAAAACCTATTTCTGTGCTTATTCCCATTTTAGAAATATGACAGAACACAAATTAACTTAAAACAATTTGCATGTTATGATAACAGATGACAGCAAGTGTATTAGATTCAACAATTACGATAGAACATTAGGATAGTTCAACATTCTACTACATATTGGATAAGAATGGGTAGCCTCTATATTCGTGAAATGTATACACAGGAGATGGAAAACTGCAGTTTCTTATTACAGAAAAAATAAAACACGCAATTAATATACAACAACCTTATAATTGCTATAAAGGATATGTAGACTTCGAGACAGTTCAAAATCAGTGGTTACATCATAAGATGTGTGGTGTAGAAAATTTCAGCAATAGAAAATGCTGAAACAAGACGATTGAAGGAATCTTCGTACAATATTTCATGAAAAGTTTGCTGCAATAGTGTTTGTTAAGTCAGTCCGATCCTGAATATATTCGGAATTCGAAAGCCCTATTTGTAAATTCGATTGGAGAACTAATTGACTGTGTTAAAAGCTCTGTCTGGTTCGAAACGCTCATTAATTCCTGATGTAATAAACGCTGGAATATTGTACATCGCGCCGGTTGTTTTTCCAAGTTTCCGACCTAATGGAATTGCCGTGGCGCTCTGCCCTCACGACTATCTTGTAAAGGGAAAACCCATCAACAGCGACTATGGCATAGCGTTATTGGAGCGCTCGAAGGATGAAATCGTGAAGAGACAGCCCCGTTTAAAGAAAAAGAAAGTGCTGTTTCAGCAAAACAAAGCAATTTGTCACAAATAAATGAAAACGATGGCAAAATTGCACAAATCGGCTTCTAATTGCTTTCACATCCATCGTATTCTCCCGATCTGGCCTTTCATCTAATAAAATCATTGAAAAAAACAATATACGACTGTTACAAAAGCAATGAGATTCCTACAACTGAAATCTTAAGGAAGAAATTGAATACTTCCAGCCATAACGTGAACTGCTGTGACAAAACTCTTCATAATTGGATAAAGAAACTAGGATTTAGATTTGAGATAATAAACAAACGTCAAGCAGTTATGGAAAGCAGAAGAATATTGGACTTGCGAAACAAATACTTAGAACAAATAACTAAATATAGACAAGAACAACGGCAAATTTTTTATTTGGACAAAACTTGGTATGACACTCACGACACAGTTACGAAAGGGTGGACTGATGGTTCGAGAATATGTACGCCTAACATGCCTGCAAACGAAGGATCGCGACTAATCATTGTGCATTGCGGAGGAAGATCAAACTGTTTGATCTTTCTCTTGAATATGATCACTTGGTGATCGAAACACGTGTCGAGGTGTTGAAATAACGATTTGGTGTTGGGAAAAATCTCCAGTAATAGTCAGTCTTAATGAACTGAAGTCTATGGAATGATTTTGTTGCAAAATATGATGGGCGACTGCTGATTTTTCAGGCCTTCCATATTTTAAGTGTGCCAAGTGTTCTTTATATCTTATTTTAATAGATCTTTTTGTCTGTCCATAATATTTTGCATCGCAGTCCTTACATTCAATTTCGTAAATTCCAGACATTTCCGAATTCTCGACTTTGTCAATTGGATTTCCTAAAAGGCCCTGTATCATTGATCAATGTCTATTTTATTGGGACATTCGCTCACAAACTCATCTCGGCGACCTGACCCGACTGTTAAAAAGCCATAGCGTGCTTGCGAAGAATGAAACAGCATTATAGATCGAACTTTATTTTCTGAGACGTGAAATGTTTCCCCGAACAAGTACATTTCTGAAAGGGCGTCTAAGAATTTCTATCTATGAAGACTGCAAGACAGTACGTGAAAATGTTACATAACTTAATCAGTTCGTTATACGTCTCTGAAATGTAATAAAGAAGTTGTAAATTGCGCCTGATATGACATTTCAAACGACTGAAATGTAAATAGTGATTGAAGCTCTGGTAAACGAAACTCTAAATTACAGAATGTTGTAAATTTTACGTCGTTAGAAATATTCAAGGTTTAAGAGTATTTTTCTCTGTTGAAATGTCAGGTTAGTAATAGTTCAAATTTATTTCTTCAACCGAATTTTCGAGTACAACACACTCCGATCTATCGAGTTTGAAACTCCATAAACTAATTGCTTTATTGATAATAGGTACATTCAATCTCAGAAGAAAAAGACGGACATGGAGAAAAATTCACGCACTGGTACGACCCACATTCACAACCCCAAGTCCATACCTTTTTTGTTGTTTCTTGGTCCGTAATAAATCTATTCAAATCCACAATAGACTTCCTGTTCTATTTGAATCCAACGATTAGAAAAGCTTTTAGAAATGACGTATTACCTTCAATTTCAAATAATGCAATGTCGTGTTACCTTCACTGTTTTTCAGATCAGAGAAATAGAATATACAGAGTGAGTAAGAGTTAGCATGTGGAATTCGGAGTCTCGATTGAGGTTGAAACCGTTTCTGGTGGACACAATATGATTTCTTCTTTTGAAGCTTCCCATTACTAATATTGTGAACAAGTGCCATGGTTGGTAGTTACTGTCTTCATCTTTCTGAAGTTACGAAACTTTTTGGAACGTATGTAGACATTGAAATAAGTTGTGAAAATAGTATTGACGCCATTAGCAAAAAAGTGAACATGTTTCGTGGTGTATTTCATCAGTTCGGACTTCCATTGTTTATTATAATATATAATGATAATAATTCGACAAAAATTTTACGATGAGTTTGTACATCCATGAAATATAAAGTGTCTTCAGCGGGTCATTTGTTCAGAATATCATCATCTATGCAGTTTTCAATAATGTACAGTTATAAGTTTTACTTAACATTCAGTGTTCGATTTATTTGAATCGGTTCATGAATAAAAAAGTTATGTCAATTCAAGGAACCACGTCAAATATTTATTGAAAAAATACTGTTCAGTCGATTAGGCTAAAACTTTGGATAATAGTTTATGAAATAATATTCTTATGGATCGAAGGTAGGCAAACATGAGAATTTGTTGCTGTTAGAAAGCTTGGGAATTTCCAAAATTTGAATTAGACACGATGAAAGTCGCGGGCAAGAGATATACAAAGTATGTTGAAATGTTAAGCTGATAATATATGAATAGATTTGATTTAAATTTTTGTAGAAGTTTATATGAAATCAGAATAAATGTGCTCCCCTTTATTTCAGACATCCACATATTCAAAATGAATTGGGATAATGTTGATGATATACACAGAAAAAATTGTTCTGGATGTTATGCAATACGAGTAACTGCATTTGAGCTCGGATCTGCAGAAGCTAGAATGGTTTATCATTCCCTTTTTGAATCCCATCTTCGTTATGGTATTTGCTTTTGGGGTGTGTGTTCTACAACATGCCTTCAATCAGTTTTACTAATACAAAAACGTGCAATACGATGTATATGCAAAGCCAAGCCTAGGGACTCTTGTCGGCCTCTTTTTGCCTCTAACAGAATCCTAACTGTGGTCTCCTTATTTATATATGAGACAATGTTCCTTCTCTTCAAAAATAGGGTCTTGTTCAACAACTTGGATGAGCCAATGTATCAAACCAGGCAAAGATAAATCTTTGCCTGGTTTAAATTATCGCTGCCTTCTTCGACCCTAGTTAAAAATTCCATTTATGATGCACTTTATGGAACCTTTGGTGTAGTAATTAATATTACTGGAGTTTTCGCCCAACACCAAATCGTTATTTTTAACACCTCGACACGTGTTTCGATCACCAAGTGATCATTTTCAAAGAGGAAGATTAAAACTAGAAACTGATGCGACCTAGCCCTATTTATGCTATATAGGTATCCCATAGTAGTAATCAGTAAACCCAACAACATTATTTTATTTTATTTCGACAAGCTATATAGTAAGGCTCTTTGGTATAGGTCCGTCATCGTTATTCATAATATTATTGTGTTTACTCATTTCTACACTCTCATAGACAACTAGCCTATGCCTGTTGTTGTTAACTTGTCTAACTAATCTTAATTACCTGAAGTCTATGGAATGGTTTTGTTGCAAAATATGATGGGCGACTGCTGATTTTTCAGGTCTTCCATATTTTAAGTGTACTATGTGTTCCTTATATCTTACTTCTATAGATATTTTTGTCTGTCCATAATACTTTGCATCGCAGTTCTAATATTCAATTTCGTAAATTCCAGACTTTCCCAAATTCTCGAATTTGTCTTTTGGACTTCCCAAAAGGCTCTGTAGTGTATGACTTGTTTTTAAAACCAAGAAGAAGTTCAGGTTAAGAATGAACGAAATCTCGACTTTCAGAAAGGACAAAAACCAAGATGAATACATCTCAGTTCCATACCACCAATATACGAGGAACTTTGGAAAGATTTTCAAGGAACTAGTTATGAAGGTGGTTTTTAAAACAAGTCACTACAGAACCTTTTGGGTGTCCAAAAGACAAAGTCGAGAATTCGGAAAAGTTGAGCAAGAACTGCATAGAATGTACAAACTCGACACTTTCAGATTATTCATTTTTGCCGAAAACCTACAGTTTGTAAAAAACTTGACAAAAGATTAGTTACCATTTTTGCATAAAATTTTAACAATTTCATGTATTTAAATTTTCAAATGCGTAATGTTATTTACGCAACATATTGACAGTTTATCAGTGCCATGATTAACCCACTAGAAAAGGAGACCTCATCAGAATTCCTGCTCATAGTTCTCATTTTATGAAAAAAGCTCTGCGCATAGTGTTTCAATCATCTTCCCACAAACCTGAGAGAGCCACGGAATAAAAACTCCTTCAAATCAACCTTGAACGAATATTTGCAAGATAAATGTTTTTATGCACGACCGGGCGTAAAGTATCACTTTATCTCCCGGATTTGCGGGCGTAAAGTAGTACTTTAGCGCTCGCGGACTACTTTATCGCCCGGCGGGCTATAACATCGTTGAGCAGGCGTTAAAGTGAATTCCAATCGCATATCGATAGAAATCACATACCTTTGCAAGTTTTTCCAGTTTAATCTTCCTCTTGAAGATGATCACTTGGTGATCGAAACACGTGTCGAGGTGTTGAAAATAACGATTTTGTGTTGGGAAAAAACTCCAGTAATATTCATTACTACACCAAAGGTCCCAAACAGTGTATCACAGACCCAAAAGTAGGCTAGACAAACTCCTACACAATAAATTGAATCGCAATATCTGCAACTAGCAGTAAAATTACCTGCATGTCTCACAATTGATCTAAACACTCAAATAAACCCTTCCAAAGATGTGCAACAAAAATGTTTACCGACATAATCAATCGATCAACTTTTTTTTCCAGTTAGCCAACTCGATGCCACCGGCAACCACTTAGTTTATTTACACGGCGATCGTGTAAACGAATGCCCGATGAATGTAAAATTTGGAAAATAAACAACACAGATAGAGAGCAGTGCGACGACGATAAAAAAGTTAGATGGTTTTCCACTGGACGGTTGCTAGTAAGTGTCGCAGTGATGTTCGTGACAATCCCGAAAAGGAAGAAGAAAGTTAAAGAAGAGGGACATGTTCGTTTTTTTATCGATTCTCGTTTTGGGTTATTTTCGATACACGGTTTCTGGATACGTAGGTGAGATAATTTTAGATACTGGACGTGACGTAGGTAGGCAATAGTTAGTCTATTAGGGACGATGAAAAAAACATCGCAAAAGACGCGATGATCTAAACATTTTTCAAGAATTTCGAAATCTTGAAGATTGCCAAAACATCCGAAGAAATGTCAAAAGTATATTTGAATGGTGCCGCAGCAATAATTTGAATCTTAGTGTCAAAAAATGCTTTGTATTTACTTTCACAAGAAAATTCATTTGGTTGATATTTGACTATAGATTAGAATCAGCTTCACTAAGTAGATTAGTAGCTCAATTACCAGACGAGTAATTTCATTACATGTTTATAGTAGGGACAATGTAACATACAATTAAAAAAAACATATTAAGAAATACAACAAATAAAATAAACAAAAAAAAAACAAACCCAATCTATTTCAGGATATATTCTTTTAGTTGTGTTTGGAATTTCGTGTAATTCAATTTTTTTATATTGTTAAGTATTTTACCAAATTTACTTTTGTGACTCAGCTTATTATATACATTTTATGATTTTATGTTGTAACCGTTGTACAGGGGAGCATCATCTCTACGTACAACGAACATTGTCCCATAGTAAATCAGAAATCAAACAGGAATGTACCCTGGTGAAATGAAGATCTGGCGAGGATGAGACAAAAAACTAGAAAAGCCTTTCAATGTGCAAGGAAATCAGGTTCATGGGACCAATACAGAAGGTCCCTAACTGAGTATGACATAGTCCTGAGAAAATCCAAGAGAGATACGTGGAGAAGGCAAAATGTGAGGAGGTCGAACAGACCCAAGCATGTGCCAGGCTCTACAAAATACTCTCGAAGGAACCTCAGGTCTGAATAAATAATCTGAAAACAAATACGGTGGAGTATACAAAAACCGGAGAATAGACTATCAGAGACCTTTTCCGAGTACACTTTTCCGGGTCAGAAATAACAAATCTAACACCGGAGTCCTGGGCGAATTCAGAACTGGAGACCTCGAAAAGGGCATCCAGAGAGGACTGGCAAAGAAGGTGATAGATATGGAGAAAATTAAATGGGCTGTAACCTCATTTCAACCCTATAAGTCGCCTGGACCTGATGGCATACACCCAGTAATGCTTCAAAAGGGACCGGAAGCACTTTTCAAAAAATTGTGTATAATTCTCAGGGCAAGCTTAGCACTGGGACACATACCAAAAACTTGGAGACTGATCAGGGCCACCTTCATTCCGAAACCTGGGAAAATCGGACAGGACTCGTCGAAGGCTTTGAGACCAATTAGTCTCATGTCATTTGCGTTGAAAACGCTAGAAAAGCTACTTGGCAGGCATATCAGGGACGTATCATTGGCTATCAGACCATTACATCGAGACCAATATGCATACAGATCAGGTATGTCAACAGAAACGGCTCTATGTCGGGTAACAGAAAAAGTAGAATATACTTACAAAAACAAGGAAGTACTCTTAGGTGCTTTCTTGGACATTGAGGGCGCATTTGATAATACATCATTAGAATCAATCATCCAGGCGTCGGGGAGAAGAGGGATCGACAAGACAAGCTGTAGGTGGATAGACTGCATGCTTAGGGGAACAGTCTTAGCACGGATAGCAAGAGGCTGTCCTCAGGGGGGTTCTATCCCCTCTGTTATGGAACCTTGTAATGGATGAGCTACTATGTCTCTTGGACCACAATGGGTATAAAGCAGTGGGATATGCTGACAACTTAGTCATCTTAGTCCAGGGTAAATACCATAATGTAGTGAAGGGATGAAAGCAGCAAGTCCTAAACATTATAACAAGATGGACCGAAAAAGAAGGGCTTAACATAAGCCCACCCAAATCGATCATAGTAGCATTCACCAAGAGGACTAAAACGGAAGGTCTCGGACCTCTAAAACTTCGAGGTGAAGAAATACAAGTGTCGGGGGAGGTTAAATATCTGGGAGTAATTCTAGATTCCAAACTGCCTTGAACCAACATCCAAGAGGAAAGCGGAGGTAGCACTGATGCTCGCCAGACGCACCTATGGAAAAACATGGGGCTAAAACCAGACATGGTATATTGGCTATACACGATGGTGGATAAATCCATGATAACATAAACATCTCTGGTCTGGTGGCCAAAGATGAAGCAGGTGACCGCCATCAACAAACTACGCAAGGTGCAAAGACTTGCATGTTTGGGAATGACGGGAGCAATGAGAACTACCCCAAACAGCTGCATTGGAGACACTCCTGAATCTACTTCCTTTACACTTTGTGATAATGGGGGAGGCCAGGATGAGCCAATTCAGAAGTACAACTTTAACACAAATTTCACGGCCAAAATCATAAGCCGTGACGAGTGGAAGACTATTAGTCATTCCAAAAACATATTTGGAAAAAAACACCTGGTATACAGATGGATCGAAGACCAAACATGGAACGGGAGCTGGAATATACCGAGCGGATAGAAATCTAAACTACAGCTATCCGCTAGGACTATACACATCCGTCTTTCAGGCGGAAGTGTATGCTATCTTGCAGTGTGCAAGGCTCATTTAATTGAGACCTCAAAGTGTTTTAAGTCTTCCAAAATTGATTTCAATGATATTGGTATTTTTAGAAAAGTAAATGCGGGTTAGATCATCAGCAAAAAGACTGATAAAACCACATAAAATCAGTTCTATAATAGAATTGATGTGAATCAAGAATAGAGTCGGACCTAAAACAGAACCTTGTGGAACGCCACACTTGATGGTTTTCAAATGATTTTTTCCTGTTTACAAGTAGCTGTTAACTCTTGCAGAAGAATATCATGATCAAAAACTGTGTTCTAATGAGCGACACATTTTCAAGCAAACGTTCATGATACTTGGCGTAATTCACACGTTACTATGGAACATTAACTTATCAGAAAGTAGAAGAAATCGTTCTAAATCAGCAATCTTCTTTAAAGTTACCACTATAAGCAAAATAACCTCTCTGTTCCAGAAATAGTTGAAATAACAGGCTGCCACACCTGCAGATTGATGTTAACCTGTCGAAGTTTGAACTCCATCATCGCCATTCTCGATTACAATTTTGTCGAAGACATCGTTGACGAATCTGCGAATGCAGGAGACCTTGCAGGAAACAGCAGCATTAGTTTCGCTCCTGCTTACCCCAGGGATATACTGAATCAAAGGTCAGTACAGTACAGTACAGTACAGTATGTTGTCTGAAAGCAGGTTGTCTCTTCAAAGTTGTAAGGAGGAAACGCTTGTATTTATTATTTTGTAGATAAAAGATGAAATGAAGTTCTTTCTACATGAATTCATTGCATCTAGCAGGTAGCTATCGAAAAAATCTTCATAGTTCAAAAAAGAATAATAAGGGGAATCAGCAACTTCAATTATAGATAACCATTCAAATCCACCAATATAATGACAATCTACGCTATTGACAATCTACGCTATATATGTCTATCTATCTATCTATCTATAAATGTCTAAAGTTCATTTATAAAAATTCACACCTCTCCACTGACAATACACCCCTTCTGAATTATAAGCACCCCCTCGAAAATTTTAAATAGCAAAGGGGGTCGTGTGGCACCTTGTTGGAAAGGGATTTCAGTCCTCTGTTCAGCAATATAAAGTTTTTTAAGTTTGGTGCAATCATAACTGAGAAAATTAATTTTTACAATTAAATTAAGTGTTCAAAATGACCACCATTATTCACTTATTGACAATAACCTGACCTATTAAACAGACCATCCCTGTAACACGCTCCTTACTAACCTTGAATCCTGGAAAAAATCTTTGAAGATACTGAAATATTAGACAAAAAGCCAAATAAACAATTAATATGAATCTAGTAGGCTGCTGTCATTTAGGTATTTGAAGTTACTAAAAGACGTCAGTATAATATTTGTGGGTGTATTAAATTTAATTATGGCTCATTTGTCCGAGACTCAAAGAACAGAACAACAAAAATCTCTGAACCTCCTTGTTTAACGCCATTTCATTCTTTGTTACCGACCTTTTGTAATAAAAGTTTGTAATGTACTCTGAAATAAAGCTGTTTATTATCATTATTATTAACTTAACTAGTTCAGTGGTCCAATAATTTTTCTGAAAAAGGGGTTGGTTGGATAACAGGATCAATTTTTTCTTAAAAAAACAATTGTTTTCTTGCCGATGTTTCGAATTTAATTAAATGTTTCTTCAGGGCCAGAAAAGTGGTTTCTTCGTGTGGATAATATTACTATAATAAAAACCATCAGACATATTAGATACATATTAAAAAAATAACAAACATTGCAATATGAGGAATCGAAAAAACAGGTTAAAATTGTATAATCAAGGATAACACCTTCAAGGAATATTTGTAGCCATCGTGGTTCAACTCCCAAGAAGGGTTAGATGTTACATTCAGATACTTGATTGCTATTTTCCTTCCTTCGGATGTTTTCCACATTTTTTGTGTAAAGATGGAAAAGTAGAACGCCCGAAATTTTTTTCCAGATATTCTTCTTGTTATTACATTGACTTAGTTGTGATTATGGATGGAAATAGTTTTAACTCAAGCAAGGAACTGGAATTCATCCACAGATAACTTTCCTCATTTCCAATTAAGATAATTACTTTTCGGCAAAAACTAAATCTAGGATATCTAGAACATCAAAATGTTCCATTCACTTCGTTAATAATTTAGAGTGCTCTCAGCCATGTGTGGCTTTAGAAGTAAATAAAACTTTCTCATATGGCGAGTGTTTCGATCAAACACTCTAAAAATAGTCGTTTATCATTCAAAACCGATCCAGCGGTGAATATGTAAAGGGCCTGCAAAATATATCGACATGGTGAATAAAAAATCAATAAAAGCAGTAGAATTGATGAATGGCGACTGGCACCAGAATTGAGGCATTAAATTGATGAACTGTTCTACTCTAAAAATTACTAACTCATCCTTGATTCTGTGAGAAAAAAGTTTGTTTGAAATATTACAAAGTACTTTTCAGTTAGGTATATTTCAAAAAGTATATAGCTGAAAACAAAAAGAGTGGTAAATAAAATTCTATAAAAGAGAAATGTTGAGAAGAAAAAGCTAAAAACCTCAGAAAAACTATACAAAGAATATTTCCTAATAAATAAGGAAGTTGGAAGACAAATATGAGAAAATTAAGATGATTGAGAAAATGAGGACAAGTACGATGTTAAATAAAAACCACACTTAGGAAATCAGTCCTAAGGGTAAGGGAGCTGGGCTCCGACCTGCTTGAAATGAAGATGACTTTCCACACTTAGGAAACGTTCGTCATCTAACACCAGGCAGCTCTGTTTCGGACTGCCATAGGTCACATCAGAGGTGTCTTTGAAAGACAAACCTAATAAGTGAGCATGTACTCTCGTTTACGAAAAAAAAAAACATATATGGGATCAAGAGAAAAGGACCCCACGATGGACTGTGAAAAAGCCAAACTTCGACCATCGAATGAGAAATCGCTTTCTGTCCTCTGCAGCTTTTAACTACACAGATGTCCATGCCTTATATGCTAAAATAATTTCAAGACAACTTGGTTGCTGAATTGCGCATCAATGAAATATATTTTTGTTGCATGTCACAGAAAAAATAACTAGTGACTAGTGAAGCTGAGCTGAATTTTTACTAAAAAAACCATCGTACGAGCATCGCTCAGTGAATGTTGAATGTGGGGAAGTAAACAGGCAGAAGGTCACAAATAAAACCAGTGCCATTTTCTTTGACAGCTAGGCGGCAATTAAGGCGCTCAGGTCATCTCAAGTCTTCTCAAGACTGTTGGGAAGCTGCCTCAGCGCACTCAGCGCACGGTATAAGTCCTAAGTGGTTTGAGTCATACTAAGCAGATCGCACCCAGATGGTCAAAACCTCTTCATACTCAAATGCAGGTAAAATTACTTGCGGCGTCCCACAAGGTTCGGTACTTGGCCCACTTTTATTCCTAATTTACATTAATGACCTATCGTCTATAAACATCCAAGGAAGGTTTACTTTATTTGCTGATGATACTACAATTTTATGGCATGCTCCTAACAACCGTACGTTGTATGAAGTTATTGAGAATTACATCACGAAAGTGAAAAACTGGTTTGACTCAAATCTCTTGAGCTTGAATTTATCAAAAACAAAAGTAGTGTCCTATCGTTGCCAGATTCCAGCCGTACATCTAAATCATATTCAAATTGACAACGTACCAACTTCTAAATTCCTTGACTTGTTCATTGACAGTAATTTGAAATTCAACAAACATGTAGATACTTTGTAATCGAAGCTCTCTTCTGGATGTTATGCAATACGAGTAACTGCATTTGAGCTCGGATCTGCAGAAGCTAGAATGGTTTATCATCCCCTTTTTGAATCCCATCTTCGTTATGGTATTTGCTTTTAGGGTGTGTGCTCTACAACATGCCTTCAATGAGTTTTACTAATACAAAAACGTGCAATACGATGTATATGCAAAGCCAAGCCTAGGGACTCTTGTCGGCCTCTTTTTGCCTCTAACAGAATCCTAACTGTGGTCTCCTTATTTATATATGAGACAATGTTCCTTCTCTTCAAAAATAGGGTCTTGTTCAACAACTTGGATGAGCCAATGTATCAAACCAGGCAAAGATAAATTTTGCCTGGTTTAAATTATCGCTGTCTTCTTCGACCCTAGTTAAAAATTCAATTTATGATGCACTGTATGGAACCTTTGGTATAGTAATGAATATTACTGGAGTTTTCTCCCAACACCAAATCGTTATTTTTAACACCTCGACACGTGTTTCGATCACCAAGTGATCATCTTCAAAGAGGAAGATTAAAACTGGAAACTAATGCGAGCTAGCCCTATTTATGCTATATAGGTATCCCATAGTAGTAATCAGTAAACCCAACAACATTATTTTATTTTATTTACAAGCTATATAGTATGCTCTTTGGTATAGGTCCGTCATCGTTATTCATAATATTATTGTGTTTACTTATTTCTACACTCTCATAGGCATCTAGTTGCCTGTTGTTGTTAACTTGTCTAACTAATCTTAATGAACTGAAGTCTATGGAATGGTTTTGTTGCAAAATATGATAGGCGACTGCTGATTTTTCAGGTCTTCCATATTTTAAGTGTGCTATGTGTTCCTTATATCTCACTTTAATAGATCTTTTTGTCTGTCCATAATATTTTGCATCGCAGTCCTTACATTCAATTTCGTTAATTCCAAACTTTTCCGAATTCTCGACTTTGTCTTTTGGACTTCCCAAAAGGCTCTGTAGTGTATGACTTGTTTAAAAAACCACCTTCATACCTAGTTCCTTGAAAATCTTTCCAAAGTTCCTCGTATATTGGTGATATGGAACTGAGATGTATTTAATTTGGTTTTTGTCCTTGTACAACCTTCCTCAAGCTATAAGAACCATAAATAACCTTAGAGCTCTTGCTTTCTGTGAGACCTTATTATAGCTTAGCAGAATTCTACGATGTTAATTTTAATTGAGAAGACTAACTGTAATATCTATGGTATTTTATTGATTTGATTCAATTTGGTTCAAATTGATTTATTCAATTTTATTGTCCATGCTCTTATATCCTGAACGTTTGTATTATTATTACTTACATGTCTCTTTTCAGTTCATGTTGTCACTTACTTTTAGTGATTTTACTTTTGTGATACTTTTGTGATTTCATTTATATGTTATTTATATTTCGCACAAGGCTTTGTCAATACGAATTTATTCTTCAGACAATAAAGTATATTTGAATTGAATTGAATTGTTAGCAAGGCTGAGACACGCAAGATGCGGGGAAGAAATTGCGAAATTGGCTAGGGCTGCCGATAATAATATAAAATATTGCAATTCATCAAATAAAAAATGAAGTAGATTACGAATAAATAGTATTTCTATGTTATCCTGCGATTTTCATGAATGTTTGTTCTTCTTCTTCTTTTTTTTTATGGTCCTCGCTTCCCTTCGGCGCAGTAGACCAGTTGAATGTTGTTTTATATCGTCGTTCCACGTCGACTCTCGAATTATATTCAAACTAATTGTAATTTGATGTAAAAAATAGATAAACATCAGAAGGTTAACCATTTCATCAAACTATTCTCTATTAAGCCCAACAAAACATACAAGCGCCCCACCACCTTGTACAAAAAACCACTAAATGCAAATTAGAAACCATATTACAATACAAAACATATGCACACCTTATCAGCGTCTGAATCTAGTGATCGGCCACCGAGACGGCCGTTTACCTAATTTATTCAACCCCTCAGCATCGTGAAAAGCCATTCGAAATGAAAATTATTCAGAGAAAGCGATCAGATAACCGCTGTCAATTTTTTCCGATCTTGATTTCGTCATGGACATTTTAATGGAACACTTAATGACGTGCATGAATTACGATCCTGTATGGCATTGACGATCGAGAGTTGGGGTAGGTTCGTTAGGGGAGGCTTTGTATTGCTTTTACTTGGCCACGTGCTTGCTGTTGTTCGCACAAACATGATACAAGTTGATTTCATCCAAGGGTGTGAGGATGGTGTGTGGAAATTTTGATAAAAGGTTGCACGATACACAGTTAGATATTCAGGGATATTGAACTGTTCAAAGAACAAATAAATATTGGTTTGAAGGTGGTTGATAATGATTCATGGTGAATTTCATTGGTTTGGACATATATTGTCTAATAGAAATCATCACACATGGGCTATAGTAACATACTGCGTACGATTTTCTATGAAAGTGCTATAAAAGGAAACTAAAGCCGTTATCGTCGACCTTGCTTCTCGGAAACCATGTTGGTTTTCGGTTATAATTTCAAATTTTTCAATAAATGTTATAAGACGGTCCAGAAAAGAGTATTCGACTACTTTTTGAAAACCGAAAGGTATCATTACTGGTCTATAATTTTCCAAATTATTTCGATTTTTTTTTTGTGAACTGGAATCACTTTCCCACATTTTAGTCCTTTTGGGAAAGCGCCATTAGAGAAAGACAAATTGACCATGAAAGTGAGAGGTGTTAATATCGATTTGATAACTTTTTTCAAAAAAAAAAAAGGAGGAACATCATCTGGATCTGTCGAACATTTATTTTTTAGTCTATTATTTAATATGCTGAGTAACTCATTTTCCTGAAATGGACTCAGAAAAATAGAATTGAGATTAAAATCCGTATTTTCTATTGTTTCCATGCTTTTTTTGTCTAATTGAGAAACCAGATCATTTGGAGCAGTAACAAAACAGTTGTTGAGAAGTGTTGCCAACTCAGAGGGATTTTCAATCATTTCATCTCCCATTTTTATCAATGGAGAATTTATATCAATACCCCCAGTCCGACGCCTATTAATAATATCTCAAACGTAATGAGAAAAAACATCGAACGGTTCTTTTGGCGGTATTTTCGCATTCTTTGTCGGTGTTTTCGCGTTCTTTGTCACATATCCCTATTTAAATGGCTCGTTAGCGGCGTCCTCAAGAGATATAGAGGGTAGACATATCCCAATGATTTTGTGGGTGAATCGCAGTGATATTCGCTTTAGACGACTATGTTACTTTTTTTGATGTAGCGACAAGTTCGTCGCTACATTTATTAGTTGAAAAAAATATTATTGTGGGGTACGCGCTTTAGATGCCGCGTTCGCATCCCTAAATTTACCCGCGGAGGCCTATTTTCGGCGTTAGATTAAAACTTTTCAAGGCCACCTTGACAAAAGTATCAACATTACCATCCGCCTTCAATTTTTCGCCTTCAAAACGCTTCACAAATCTACCCTAGAAATAAACCGTATTCCTCTTGTCCCTCTTAAGCCTTCCTTTCGCTTAAACCAACTTCAAGCATCCCCCGTTCAACAAGATTCCACCCTCGTCGATAACACCCGTTCTCCTTCGCCGTATCCTTACGCAAGGACCTCCGAGTCGTGTCCTCGGCCTGTTTCTAGGTCGCAGCCGGGTCACCGAAAACAAAACCAGGTCGTTTTCGGAGATTGGAACAATTCCCACACCCGAATTTCAGTAGGCCACGCTCCGTTCGGGGGTTGTCTCTCGGGCAAGGTCGAGGGTAAGGTCTGCCGGAGGACGAAATTCGGGAGATTCGAAGAGAAACGTTTATCGATCTGTTGTTGCGAGCTTGAATCAATTATTTACGGAATTTGCGTAGTTGGCGTCGGTGGGAGTCGAGGAGGGGGAGAAGTCTTTTTGTTGTGGAGAATGGCTGAAGAAGTGATTTGTTTCAAAAATTCTTAGTAGTGCCACGCCTTCATTCAATGACTTAACAACTTATGAAAAGTAATTGACAGAATTGAATCTTGTCTATCCAAATCGATGGATCGGTAGGGGTGTAGAAGAACCTAACCAGGCGTGGGCACCAAGGTCCCCAGATCTAAACCCGATAGATTTTTATTTTTGCAGACATTTGAAGTCACTGGTTTATAAGACTCCAGTAGTGAACAAGGAAGATCTAAGAAACCGAATAGTAGACGCCTGTGAAACAACAAGAAACACACCAATAATTTTTGAGTGGGTACGAGATTCAATGACTAGACGACTGACTGCCTGTATCTTCGCTGAAGGTGGACACTTCTAACAATTTATTTGAATACAATTTAGTTTCGTTTATTTTAGTTTATTCTACATATTCAAAATTTCCTGAAATAAAATGTTGACATTTCTTGCAAATTTTATTAAAACAAATACTGATTATGCACCCTTGATACAAAAATAACTATTTCGCTTAAGGATGTCATAAAGGAACGTACCCAACAGTAATGACCTCTTCAAACGAGTAAAACGTTAAATTTATTTCCAAAGCATTCTTGTGAAAAATGCAAAATATTCGTAATCACTTCAACATGCATCGATTATTAAATAATCGACTTGAAGTTTTCAAGTCCAAATATTTAGAAAACGGTTTCTCACAGCGACTAGTAACAAGGGTAGCTTATTCACGTAGATATGATAGAGGAATCGATTTTTTTACTGAAAAATGTGCTAGAAGTACGCCCAAAAAAGTTATGAATCTTTAAAAAAGAAAAAGACGTGTAGGTGGCGTCCCCTACGACTAAGAGCAATAAGAACATCAGGTTCGAATTCGACACCTCAAAAACCTCCTATTACCAAGTTTCGTTTAATCAAGTTCAGTATTTCAAAAGTTATTTGAAAGAAACGAAAGTAAAAATAAAACTTCAACATCCTGTATCTTGGAAACGAAGCGTTTCCGGACATTTATTTTTTTGGACAATTCATATTCGAATATTGTGAGGAATCACCTCCTGAAGTTTGTCAAAGTACTTTTGAATCACCCTGTATACATGTTTTTGGGAAGGTCTATTGAAATATTATCTATGCAACTCGACGTTGTGCTGTCAACTCTTGTTATATCTATTAAAGTTATAGTCAAATCGATACATAATGGCATAATGGTCTTTCAAACCAATAAAAAGTTTCGATGATACCTATTGAGACAGCTTTTTCTTCAATTCTGTAAAATCGAACGAAAAATCATCACATGACAGTAATGTCTCTCTTCCCCTGCGGCATATGCGGCTTTCACAATTAACCATATGTTAGGTCAGTGACACAAAATGGAAATGAACAGCGATTTCAGGGGTAGATATAACAACCCCTAAATTGCGTTTGGCTATTCTCACAATATAGATGTTGGACCTTTCGAACATTCTCTATAAATTGATGAATCATGAAATATTTACTTCAAATAGTTCCAATATGGAACCATTGGTTTATTCATATAAATAGTATTGATGTACAGGTCAAAAAAAGATGATTTCTCTTCATATCGCAACCACTGAGGTCTTTCAGAAAAAACGAACACACATTCCTTAGTTTCATAAATATTTCGGATATATGTATATCTGTATATTTTTGTTTTAGATGTTCCGGTTTAAACCTTTGTAGTTTTATATTATCAGAAGACTGCCCTGGTTCGGAAATTTTCGGCCCAGGAAATATAACAATAAAGTATGCCTGTGTTACTGGTGAGTACAATGATTTTCCCAGCTATCAAACCCCCCTTTTTGTTTTACTAAATTGTTCATAACTTTTGAAACGTTTTCTAGCCCCCCTTGAAATTTCTCAAAAAGTTGCTAGAGGTCATTCCGAATCGAATGAGATCGTAATTTTCGGTGCCCTTGTACAGAATTTCCAAAAAAAGGATATTGTGACCCAGACTATATTAGAAGAAACGAAGGAAGCAACCTGTAAAAATAGATACGTCCCTCAATGACTCGGCCTGCTTTACATTAAGTGAGTTTTTATGAAAGATCACGCAATGCTAACACGTGGTTTCATTTTCCAATTCCACAGCCACGTTTGGCCTGATGTAACATGTAACTTCAACTTATTCGAAAATAATTAATCGGAATCGACTGCACAGATGTTTTATTGAAATTGAATTGAAGAAGCATTTCCGTTTCCTTAAATAGACATCAGAAGTGTCGGTCGAAACGAAATTGACTCTAGTCAATACGGAATATTTCACTTGCTGTGAATTTTTCTGGAATACCATTTAAGATTTTGCTTCTCTACTCCTGATAGTTAGCTCAAACTTTTTCTCCTTCTCTGATAAATATGAACGAGGTGTCATTCTGTGCGGAATAGCATGTAGATGATTTTTGAAAAAATCAAGTTCCGCTTGCAAAAATTGCAAAACTTATAAACAATTACCTGGAACAAAATTAGGTTTGGTTTTTTGCGAATATCCCAAAAACTATCTGACATTTCACAAATTTGATATAAATCAGCTTGCAATGCGACGTTTCGTTCATTAGATTTCATCAACTTTTTTTAAACGACCTCTAGTTTTTTTCATCGATTTTTGTAGCAACTTTGTAGCATACTGTATTGTATTACAATATTGTATTGTATTACAATACATGTCAATGTATGTCTTTCCGTTTCCGAAAAAGCAATAGTGAGATCAGCTACAAAATCGACCTGTATAATTTTAGATGGGCAAAATCATTGTGGTACGTAATTTGCAATCGCAACGACAATAACAATATTCCTTTCAAATTCACTCTACAAAAAAGCAATAACAGAATGGCCTCCTGTAACAAAACGATTGCAAATAATCGCCGGGGCCACGGTGATCCATCATTCATTTTAATTATGCACTCTATGCAGCATAAGCCTGCATTTCACCATTTTCATTGTCAGAGTATCAACCTCTCTAGTAAGTACAATGGAGGGTTTCGTACACAAAAGACGGCTCGTGTGCGTTTTTCAATATCCACGAGATTGGCGAGTTTTCACGGTCTGCCGATTTTACGCCCTATTTATTGAAAGTAATTCGGCACATAAAATGTACGAGGGGTGAGTAATATTTTCCCCAGGAATGCCAAAATTATAGTTTCGTAAATTGGAGTACCAATAACTGGATTAGGTAACAAACATAAAACAAAAATCCGGTGTCCAACAAAAATATTTCTTCTAAACACTAGAACAGTAATACTATTCTCGAGGAGCGTTTCACCATGAAAATAAGACTCCAAAAAATAGGTAGATTACGAATATATATTGAACATGGAGATATTTGCATTTTCAAGTGTCGAGATATTGCAGTGGAAATAAAGAAAATTAGATTATTTGATAATAAGAGAGTTAGTATAAGTGACTAGGAAATTTTTTCTTAAAATAATTGGTTCTCTTTTTTTTGAAAAATCTACAGAAACAAGTATTTTCAGCAGGATGGAATTACCTGCTAATATCTGTAGCTGTTCTTTCAATTTGAACAGCTTTTTTATGTTGCTGTTCATCTGTAGCGATGCATCTGCTCATATGTATCTGTTCATCTAATTTGAACAACAGTTCAAATGTTTCTGTTCATCTAATTTGAACAGTTGTTTATATAAAGCTGTTCTTATGTAGCTGTTCATCTGTAGATGTTCATTCATTTTGACCAGCTGTTCATCAGTAACGATGCATCTGTTCATACGTATCTGTGCATCTTATTTGGAAAACTGTTCATCTGTTGCGGTTAATTCAATTTAAACAGCTGTTCATATGATGGAACTGTTCATGTGTAGCCATTCTTCTGTTCATTTAATTCGACAAGTTATGTATCTGTTCATCTAATTTGAACAACAGTTCAAATGTTTCTGTTCATCTAATTTGAACAGTTGTTTATATGAAGCTGTTCATATGTAATTATTATTCTGTTCATATGTAGCTGTTCATTCAATTCGAACAATTGTTCATATGTAGCTGTTCATATGTAGATGGTCATTCACTTTGAACAGCTGTTCATATGTAGCGATGCATCTGTTCATACGTATCTGTGCATCTAATTTGGAAACTGTTCATCTGTTGCGGTTAATTCAATTTAAACAGCTGTTCATATGATGGAGCTGTTCATCTGTTCATTTAATTCGACAAGATGTTCATCTGTAGCGATGCATCTGCTCATATGTATCTGTTCATCTAATTTGAACAACAGTTCAAATGTTTCTGTTCATCTAATTTGAACAGTTGTTCATATAAAGCTGTTCATATGTAGCTATTCTTCTGTTCATATGTAGCTGTTCATTCAATTTGAACAGCTGATCATATGTAGCTGTTCCTCTGTAGATGTTCATTCACTTTGAACAGCTGTTTATCTGTAGCGATGCTTCGGTTCATACGTATATGTGCATCTAATTTGGAAAACTGTTCATCACTTGCGGTTAAATCAATTTAAACAGCTGTTCATGTGATGGAGCTGTTCATCTGTAGACATTCTTCTGTTCATTTAATTTGACAAGATGTTCATCTGTAGCGATGCATCTGCTCATATGTATCTCTTCATCTGGAGCGATTCTTCTTTAGCTGTTCATCTAATTTGAACAGCTGTTCATATGTAGCTGTTCGTCTGTAGCGATTCATCTGTAACTATTCATCTAATTTGAACAGCTGTTCTTGTGTATCTGTTCATCTAATTTGAGCAGCTTTTCATATGTAGATGTAATTTTGAGCAGCTTTTCATATGTATATGTTTATATGTAGCTGTCTATCTAATTTGAATAGCTATTCATAGGTAATGACTTATCTATTCACTTGTAGCTGTTAATTTAATTTGAACAGCTATTCATCTGTGACGATTCATATGTTCATATGTAGCTGTTCATCTGTAGCGAGTCATCTGTTTGTCTACAGCTGTTCATTCAATTTAAACAGATGTTCATATGCAGCTGTTCATTCAATACGAACAGTTATTCATCATATGTTCATCTGCAGCTGTTCATCTGATCTGAATTAGCCTGTACACTCTCTCTGTATGATTTTCTTCACTTTATCGTTATCAAAATTCACCTTTTTTACGAGCGTGTCGATTCTAATCAAAGCTAACAGATGAAAATAACCGTTCCAGAAGACAGGATCAAGAAGTACTGCAACAGCGACATAGTCCTGCCGAGCGAATACACAAAGGACGGTTCGGAAGGATTCATTCACAATCCTGGCTATCCGAGATTCTACTCCGGACACAAGGACTGTCGGTGGAGGATCACCGGAAACGCTGAACAAAGGATTCGAGTCACGATCCTGGACATTTCCCTTATCGGTAAGAAATTGTAAGTTAATATTAATAGTCGGGGAAAATTAGAATTTTTTTGAAATAGTCCGAGAAAATTAGTATCACTTTGGAAAACCGTTATTTTCAGTCGACAACGTGGAATGCACGGATGTCCTCGAAATAANTTTTCTAATCATGTTAAGATAACTACAAAACCTAATATAGAAAACCGAGCTAAACAGACATTAAAATCCCGAGTGACACAGAAAAAACAATGTGGAAATGACATTCAGACCACATGTCAGCTTATCTAATTTCCTTGGACAGGGCTGAAAAATGTTACAAAAAAAAAGCACATGTGAACTAGAATATGGCATGAATAATTTTTGTGGTCCAGGAGAAAAAATAATACTGTTTCAACTCTGACCCAATTTCAGAATGAAAACGTAAAAGCTTCAGGCGGCTGCTCTGCCTAATCCTTTTGACAATTTCGTTTTCTTTCTTCTTTCTCTCACACTTCTTGACGTTCTCGATTAAAGAAGTTTGTTTCGTTTTTTTTCCAGGACTCCTTTTTTGACGGTGTTCAGCTGCTGCCGCGGTTATAACTTTCCTGATACAGGAACTAGGATAAAAAGTATCGGATGCCTTGGTTCTTTTTGGAACACTTCACTGCCGCTTCTCGATTGTCAAAGTAAGTAAAAAGGTTGTTAATGATAGTAATTGATTGACTCAACAGAAGTAAATCGCAAATTATCTGAACAAGGTAAAATGTTAGTAAAAAAAACAGTTTTGTTACTAAAAAAAATTTTTAAAATCAACTTTCATATTGTATTGTATTGTAGTTTTGAAATTATTATATTTATATTTGAATTGACAAAGAGGATACCTGTTTTTAGGAGGAATCAGTTTTTTACACGCTTTATATTAGCTTCACCTGTATGTATGTATGTATGTTTGTTTGTTTGTTTGTAACTCTCAAACTCGAGATCCGACAGAATCATCGGTATTAGCTTGATCTATTCGCGGGCAGATGGCGCTGTATGTAACTATCAATTATTGCTTGAGATGTATCAGAAGTATACAGGTTATACACTCGGCTTGTAGGCAGCAACATCCTCCCACAGAAATTGTTTCAGGAAGTGAGTCAATTGAAGTAGTTTTAAGTTCGCGACAGGAGTTCAATCCCCGGAGGGGATTTCTGATTTACTACAGCGTCGTTGGCTGTTCAGAGCTGCCTACCCCTCAAGGCGCTTACATAGTCCACAGGTGAGACATCAGAATTATTATGCAGTAGAGACATTTGAAATTTGAAGTCATCTCAAGTATTATAATATAAGAATTGACAATCATTAAAAGTATGAGTGAAAACTTTGACATTTTTCTTCAGGAAGACGCCATCTATCGATCGATAGAAAACACAATCCATTGAATGTATTTGGTGTCAGAGCAAAAATACTTTGTTTTTTAGGTTTCTTAGGTTCAGTTGAGAAACATATTCATCCACAAAACTGCAGAATGGCAAATGGTATCTGTAATTTGTTGAAAATCAAGAAAGGAAGTTGTTTCTTCTGCTACATGTTTTTATTTTTCGATATCAATGAAAGATGAGTTTGCGACGCCATCATAGAATTAAATTTTTCCGAAAGAATAGGATGAGGTACACTTCACACATTGGAATGACAACATTTTCCTTCGTGTCATGGCTCTCAGCTATATCACTAACAATCTTCAGAAAGGTGTTTGTGGTAGTTTCTCTTAATCTTTCGGAAACTAGACATGCAGCCAGTCTATTTCATGAGATTCTCCATATTTTGCCTTCTATTTGAACTATTGAACGATTGTTAGTCACTTCTGGGGCGCCCTTTTTGGGCATAGGATCTATTTTAGGAATCTGGAAAAATACCCGATTTGAAACAGAAATTGAATGAAGTAACTGAAAGGTATTTCTATTCAAATCACTTTTCGCTCGTCAGAACAAACATGATGTCTCTCGACGCGTGTTTGGCATATCAAGTTAGCATCATCAGAAGATGGGAAACGTGTTTTCAGTAGATTCATTTGGCGCCAGAGATTCCAAATTTCGCTCATTATGCCGTCTCTCCTTGGTAGTCTGGTTAACATGTACTCGACTTAGCTCTTTTTGGTGATATTTTTCAGCCCTGTTCAAAAATAACGAACAAGGTGTCATTCAATTCGTATTTTTGCCTAGAAAGTTTAAGGAAAGGTCCGAAAACGCGCCGATAAAAATTACAAAAANTTGAATTCACAAAGAGGATACCTGTTTTTAGGAGGAATCAGTTTTTTACGCGCTTTATATTAGCTTCACCTGTATGTATGTTTGTTTGTTTGTTTGTAACTCTCAAACTCGGATCCGACAGAATCATCGGTATTAGCTTGATCTATTCGCGGGCAGATGGCGCTGTATGTAACTATCAATTATTGCTTGAGATGTATCAGAAGTATTTCGTTAATTTTATGCCGAAAGTTACGGCAGTAAAAACCAGCTTATTGATCACTAAATCAAAAATATAATACAGGTGCCTACGACAAATCCATTCTCCCACAAAATTTTGTTAACTCGATTAATAATAATTATAAATCAGTTGGAAATCTAAGGTTAACACATAAAATAGCAACTCTTTTGATTTCCTCAGAAGTTTTGTATTGTTTTACAAGCACTTAGTTTGAGTATTGTGTGCTGAGTACTAGATGGGCTGAAAAATTCGTAAGTTTACACATAGATGGTGCTACTAGTATTAAATCGATGGCAAAATTGCATGAATTGGGCTTCGAATTACTTCCGCGTCCACCGTATTCGCCAGATCTGGCCTCCAGTGACTTTTTTTGTTCTCTGACCTCAAGAGAATGCGCGCTGGAAATAATTTAGCGGCCATGGAGAGGTAATCGTTGGAATTTAGGCCTATTTTGAGGCTGAAACAAATCGAACTTTAAAAATGGTAATTAATAATTATATGACCGCTATAATCGTTGTATGGCTTTCGAAGGGAATTATATTTTATCAAAAGCTTTATATTTCTATCCGAATATTTCTATCTATTTGAGTTTCTGGCATAATTAGAAAACTGAAGCCAATGTCCAGGTCTATTTATAATTTACCTAATTTACCCAAAACAATAATACTTAAACTAATGCTATTTAAAAAAAAAGAAGCTTCCCAACTAATCAGCTGTATAAGGATTCAGTTGGTTACCTCGTTCACAGACAGATGGGGCGACGACAAACCTATTGTTTGTTGTCCGCTTCAGCCTAGTTCGTGGAATGATACTTTGGAAGGAATTCGATTTTCAATTATCGGAAATCATCGACTTTATGTTGATGATAGACACTACTTTGCACTGAGGAGTGGCCAAACAGCCCGAAACCGGTCTGCAAGTGCGTTTCAATAATTGAAAATATATTGCGGCAGGAATAACTTCAGTGAAGAATCCTGCGCCGACACCTGTCGAATATAATTCAAAACCCTTCGTGGTATTAGCCAGGGGAGTAGTTGTTTTCTGATAGGCGTCAGTCCATTAACCTACAGCACCGTATAGAAGTAAACACTATGTACGGTGCCTACAGTGTAGAGAGTTGAGACCTGCCTGAACGAATTGTTCCTCTAGATTTCTAGATGATTTGATTTGGCATTGATTTTCTCAAAATTCCAAGAGCACAAAGCAGTAGGCAACTAACTTTTTTACCTACCTAATACCTAAAATATACAATACATTGCCAGAAAGTATAAAAATTATTTATAGCAAACCTATAAGAAGAACATTAGTGGGTTCTCAAGACGAATAAAACCTGTTCTCGTGTGATAATTGATCTCTAGTAGAGAAAAAAAATTAAGTTAATGCAATCAACACATATCTCAGATAGAACAGTGGTTTGAACTGAATATTAATTTTTCCATTTTTCTTTTCGAAACTTGTTTCGCTAGCAGTATTCATTAATTAAATTCATTAATTATCGAAATTTCGAGATTAAAATCAAAATTTCGAGATAAAAGTCGAAATTTCGAGATGAAAGTCGAAATTTCGAGATTAAAATCAAAATTTCGAGATTAAAGTCGAAATTTCGAGATAAAAATCGAAATTTCGAGATTAAAGTCAAAATTTTGAAATTAAAGTCGAAATTTCGAGATGAAAGTCGAAATTTCGAGATTCAAAGTCGTAATTTCCAAGGAACAAATAATAAAAATATGTGGCCCTTCTGCGCTTCCGTACATCCTTAGTTATCCATATTGATATGTCATGCTGATGTGCAAAGCTTGTACATCAGCATCGTCATTGAGAATGTGCTCACAAACTAGTTTGACGCCTCAAAAGACTAAAATTAGCCAAAACTTCGATCTCTGATTCCATAATTTTCATATTCCACTACATTCGATGAATTACCCCTCCATCACGAGTCGTCCCTGTGTACTGAAACATCGTTGAATAATTCAATTGAATGAACCCATTAGGGAGTTTCTCTTTATCTTGATGCGGCCTCTAACCCCTGTAGATAGAAGTTGACCTCTCTGTGGATTACGTTACACAGATTTGAACTGGCCTCCTAAATAATGTACACACCATTCTCCGTTATGGCTGAGAAATGCCTGTACATTCGGGCGAAGGGATTGAATAACGCAATCGGAAACAAGTGAAATTGCCTGGGAAAATAGGATTTTCCAGCGCAAGCTTTCCGACTACCTGGGGAGAAATATCGCTTGTACATCTGCAGGTACAAACTCTAGAGAGGAATAATACCTGGTCCAAAAGTTTTATTACCCCCAGTCGCAACATTTAGATTAAAATGACTTATCTAATTTCCACAATCATAATAGAAACATTTATTAAGAAATTATTTATTTCTTCCTTTTTTTATTTATTTAAGAATTTATTAGTATGGATTACATTGGAAATAATAAATTGGTGGATGTAGCCGTTACTACGTGGTAGGAAATCATAATGAAAAAAAGAGAATTGAAAACTTTCTATGTTTTTACCACTTTTATTTGTAACTAACGTAACCACAGTTTCGTCCTAGAAGGACATTTTCACACTTTTACATTAAACTAACAATGGTTTATTAAATTATTATAGCACCCCTGTAGGTAATAATAGAGGTGAATTTCACTAGTTCGGACTTCCATTGTCTACTATATAAAATGATTTGAAATCCCTGAAACAACTAAAAGAGAAGAATTAAAAATGAATAGTTGA